AGACCGTCATTAGTACCTACCTACACAAGACCGTAACTCTTAGAACGACTGGCTATGTAGTCAGAGGGCTAAAATCAGTGATCGAAACTTTCTCATTAGGACCATTTAGTTTTCAATGAGTCGTCTTATTCAGCAAAAGAAATGACTGAACCCCAGGACGTAAACAATGAATATTGACACAATCTGGGTGGGAGGGGCATTAAAAGCCGTTACGGATGTAACGATATAACTCGTGTGTCATATTGTAACGGAAATATGGCATGAAGTAGATAAATAAGTTGCTAATGGCCTATTTATATCTATAACGAGATGAGAACAGCACCGAAGCTATGCCGGTATGCATGACCTATTGCCAATTCGCTAGCCGACCTCCCCTTAGTCCCGGAGTTGCAGACACGGCTGAGGGAGGGGCGCAAGCTTTACACCACCGCACCATTGGGTGACTGCTGTATGAGTGTAGTTAGCTTTTCCCCTCTCCCACAAACACCCACACCCACATACAGACTTTTGCTGAGACTGTTGACATAACTATTGTTGACTTGAGACGGGTGCAGATATCATGTCATGGAACTAGTGCCTGGTGATGGCCGCTGCCAGCAGCATCCTTGCAAGATAAAGTAACGGACCTTACGCTGCACTCTACAGGCCCAGTCCAAACCCTGGTGCTGAACTGAAGTCGAATGGCATTGGCTAAAGCTGAAAATTAGGAAGGTGCCGAGAGCTAAACGACTCAGCCAACTCCGAGGCAGATCCGTTTACTGACTCCTGGCATTGCCTGGGGGCCGACACATTGGGTGGGCCATGGACCTTAGGTGGCGGACCTAGTTCTCCTCGTCTTCAGCCTCTGCACGCACACTCCTTTATATGACGCCGCGTCCTGGTTACCACCATACAGCCCATGCAGGATGAAAATCTTCTGCTTCATTAGGTTCTTCAGATTCAGACGCCAATTACCTCAGATCACAAGTGATCTGTGCAAGGAGCTGTGAAAGGTCTTCGTCACGTATCAGCTATGCACGTATCAGCGCATGGCTAGTCGCCCGTGGTCGAAAATGCAAAGTCGTAAATGCTGTGCATTGTATCGGAAACTCTTACACTTAAGAACGGTGTGTACTCTTATCTGTCCCCACTGAAGAAATGGAATAGTAGGTAGATGGTTGGTAGGCATGGAAAGAATCGACGCTTTGCAGTTTATGTTTTTGGATTAGAAGTTGATATTTTTGGGTAGAACACCCAGATTTATTCTACCTTGTCTCATAGGTGTATGCGACAGTAGCGGTGGAACACCTTCAATTAAGGGGGGGGGGGGCACTGCCGACTTTTGGCCCCATTCTTTCCATGCAACGCCCCTAGAGCTAATGTTAAAATGCCAAAATCAAAGGGGGGCACGGTGCCCCGGTGCCCTCCCCGTTCCGCCGCCTGTGGTCAGCGATTAGGACGGCGTTTCTTGTGGAAGTATACGGTCAAAATGGTTTGATCGTTTTTGAATTGCATGGTTTGAAATCCATTCGGAGCCATGATCTGTGAGATGTATCCTGAGCTAACTTGCGGAAACTGTACATAATTGTATGGACACAAAAGCCTGTCATGAACTGAGATGTGGCAACTGAAACGTCACATTTAAGTTTGACCTCACAGGTCATCAAAGGTCACCAATATCAAAGGTCACCAAAGGTCACATGAAGGCAGAAGATATCAAATATGATTACACGCCGACCAGAATGATACCAACAACAGGAGCAAAACATCACGGCGCTTTTCACCAAATGTTACAGTATCGACTTGTATTGATCGCTAGTAAAGCATTTAACCGGAACCACGTGATGGAGCACATCGATCTGGATGAAAAAGGAGCGTTCAATGACCCCTCTACCCTACTTTCGAAACAAAAAGTTTGCCTTTGGTGCGATTTACTATCAGCGTAAAATAGACATATTTCTAGGTAAATACGCAAATTTCAATGTCAATTCGCGACCCCTAAACCACCTTTGATTTCAATATTTTTTGCATCGTTGGAATCAGGAGCCGCGAAATAATGGGAAAAACCACCCCCACCCTCAAATTTCCAAAATCGGGAAAAATGGGTACCCCTAATATGCATAGGTTTAAAGTTTTGTCAATATCTTTCATATGTGAACGCCTTTGGAAATAAAACGCAGTTGAAATAAAAGGCAACTTAATAGGGATCACATTGGTATAGAAAGAATCTTTCCAAGTTTAAAAATCAAGCGTTGGCATCGTGAAAAGCGTTAGGGTGGCCGCTTTGCCCCACTCTCCCCTACATAGTTTAGTTTAGATAGTTGAGAGTAACCTGACCTGGCCATGGGTGGAGAACCTGCCCCGGCCACCCCGGCCGTGGCCGGGGTAACTTTCAGCCTACCCCGGCGCGGCCGGGGTAACTTTTCTACTCTTGTAAATCATAAAAGCTGTCTCCATACGAGAAAAGAAAACTCACGCTCTTCGAATGTTGACTTCCATGGGCGTAATATTGCAAATCAGGTAGGTATTTACCATTTACTTAACTTGCCATAATCTCCAACCCTAAGACCCGCGTGTGGTCGCCAATGCCAAGATTGCTCTCAAATCCTGTTCAGTTTCGAAATTTTGGCGCGCCTTCGGCGCACTTTTTCAAAACTACTGCTTGACCTCATTGCCTTCATCTGACCTGCCACCAACCGCAACCACACCCGTTTATGAGCGTACCCGTCAGGGTGCTCATAAACACCGAGCGGCCATCATGCTTCGAACTCGGACTGTTGTAACCGGGCCGCGTGCTCTCGCCACGCGGAATCCAACGCTCTAGCAACTGAGCTACGAGACCGGGACCGGTCGATATTCCTGGATCGACTCCCTGTTTGTATTATAAGAGCCGCCCAACATTGAAAAAGGCTACGCCCGTGGATGTCAGTGACCTATTTTAGTGCTTTGCTTGGTTCGATCTGTCAATTTCTCTGTAAAGCTTCTACTATGGTGAGTTGTCTTTTTGTAGCTATTTTGAGACACAATAAAAAGCTGAAAACGCAATATTTAGGTACTCAAAATGGCATATGGTTTGGTTTGGGTTCGGTGTGAAATTGCAAGTTTAAGCAAAAAGAAATAATAATTTAAAAGGAAATTGCCTTTTCGATCATTCCAAAAATGTTATGAATAATACGGTGTCGGATACAACGCTCATCCTTGAGCAAACACAGCATCCTATTCCATGCGTCAGAATAGGGGTTTGATGATGACCGTTGAGAACAACGTGAGTATATCGTCTTCCCGCGACTATCGGTCGCCGGCCGGGGTAACTTTTTCAAACATTCTCCACCCATGGACCTGGCAGTACCTGACCTACCAGTAACCTGACGGTTTCGACCACACGAAATAAAGAAAAACCGTTGGTACCATACCGGTGATAAAGCTTGAGAGGGGAGGTCGTAGCTGGCAGAAACACATTTCTCGGCACACCTTTTAATGCTCCTCTTCTGCAGCATTTCAGTCTTTCAATGTTTCAAGGTTGTGTCAAGTGCACTATCCTCTGACGTGTTTGGGATGACTTGCTTAGAAAGATGCATTTCAATTTTCTTTTATTGCCATATTGGAGAGTTCCCAATAATTGGCCTGACCTCAGTGTCATCGATACAATCCAATATACATCTTGTGTACGTTACCCGTGCCAAATCAGTTGGGCAAACTAGACCTTTGGAATCAAAATATGGAGGCATCAAAAGATTGATTCCTTTTGGGCATAAATGCAGACCATTTCTAACTAACCAATCACATAAAAATAAGAGAGTGTTTCAAGAAGGAGCATGCCTGATCTTGAACAGAAATGCTTGAACTATCTCCTAAGCAAAATAATATTGCTCCTATCATAACAATTTGAATTCTATAGGTAGTGAAAGGCAATCAAGGAATTGATTCACTTTAAACAGATAATCATAATATTGATTCCTCGTCAGCTGGCTAATCATTATTTTGATTCACAGGTAATGTTAACAGATAGGCAACAATGACTTGCAAGAATACAGCACTTATCTTGCCATTATTCTCATTTAGTGGTATCCTCAGCACCACAACTGATACCTATAGCATTGTTGTGCTTGACCTTCACTACATTTGATAACAATTCACAATTTTTAAATGTCAAGAATACAAAAACTGAAGCAACAGGTAAAAACCATATAAATAATATAAAAGCACTACAAGAATGATAATTAGGGGTTAAAAAAATTCATTTTGCCATTTTACACAAATACTGATTGGTTAGTATGTGATTCATGATACAAAAATAACATACAGTGTGATTTCCTCAAAACAGCTTTTACGTGATGGACAGTGGCTCTGTCTTTTTCCCATTCACAAGGCCAAAGGGACAATTTCTTAGCTTTGAGGTAACACTTTTTGCAAACCTACCACATTTTTCTACCTTTTAAAAGAAAAATCTCACCGTCATGGGCCTTTTTTCAACCGTAACGGTTCATTTGAAGTAAAAAACGTACCCAAATGAATCAAAAAATTGATTCCATGCCCATATTTGGTCATGGCTCCTCCCACCAGAATCAAATTATTGATGCCTCCATATTTTGATTCCAAAAGTCTAGTTTGCCCAACTGAAATGCTTCTCGCACCAATCGTTTCACAGAACTATAGCTATGGACGGTTACTTATAACAGTCAACTTGTCAACTTTACGTCAGTACGTTAGTCATTTCGAGGACACATTTCACACAAATCCCCGGACCCATCCGGCTGGTTGTCGCCGACAGATCCCTTCACTAGCCTTACAAGTAGCACACTGGTATCGTGATTTCTGAAATGCGCCCGTACTGTGGAGTGCGTATTGTGGTTCCATCCACTCCTGATCTCATCTGACCTGAGCTACTCGGGTACCTGATCTCATCTGATGTCCCTACTCGGGTTACGCTTCCACTCAGCCGCCGGTCTCCCTTTCAAACCCACCTCTGTCAGCGTAACCAGACACCTATCCCAGCCCAGACATTCCTTCCATAAAGAACAGGCGATTTGTTGTTTATTGACTGATCGAAGTGAACATTTACTTAGCGGCGGCGGCAGCCTTCACCTGACGCTTGGGCTGGGTGCCCTCGCGGAAGCCGAACCTGAAACAAGAAAAAGGAAAATTATCAAACGTCGGACCACCATACCTCCACAACAGGAGCGTTACCCTTCAGGGAATCTCGGACTCCCGCAAATGCAAATAAGACACAGGGAAAACAGGGCAAATAGGACGGTTGAATGCATCAAAATCACACGAAGGCCATTGCACTTACACTCAATACCCAGAGCCCAGCGCGTGATGATATAGTGCATACCAATGATCATAGAATCAAAATCACTACGCATGCATTCAATCTCAAGATCTCAGCTTTGGCAATTCCTGTCGCGTTTTCACGAGCAACGCGTCAACTGTACAGTGGGTTTTGAAGATGAGAAATGTGGCCAATGGATTGAACGTGATAGGAAGAACCATTCCATTCACCCAGTCCGTTTCTAAGCACCAGTCGACAAAGGCAGATGAGGTTTTTCGATGATTAGCAGCGATACCAAGTGCAACCACCCGATGCCGGATGGTGGTGAATAGAAGGGGGGGGGGGGGTGTAGGGGGCTAAACATCCCTCGTTCACGGTGATTCCTCCGCCTACTGAGTTTGCAGAAGCGATACTGTTCTAGCATTTATTAATGGCGGAAGCGACACAGCTGTTACTTTATAGAGCGGCAAGGAAAATGTGATTCTGCCAACAGGATGGATTATGGAATTGTATGTTGACTAAGGTTCCTGTTTGCTATGTGAATGACAAAGTGTATTTTTACATTTCATAACTTACGTTGCATGGAAAAATAACCTAACCCGCGCCCCGTAGGGCTATCGGCGGATCCTACCACCCGTAGCAGTGTTCCATTTTTCAGACTTTTTGGTGGCAAATCACACCTAATGGGGAAAATATTTTCATCCCTAAAATATAAATGACCGACTTAACTTCATCTCTGACAAGAGTTTCATGTATTCCCAACAGCCAGTTCACATGTCACTTGACAGTTGATGCACCCACATCCTTTTGTTCCACACCCTGTCAAGATCCTGACATGAAATCCTGGTGAACAGTTGGCATAAAAATTGGCATTACACCATTTTGCAAAAATACTTCAGTTATTTACTTTCTTTTTTATCATCCTAGAATTTTTTTTCTTCATCGACACACTCAACCAATATCCAATTTTAGAACACTGCCCGTAGAGGGTGCCGTTTCGGCCCCCCAGATCTCGGAAAGTTACCCGCCTATTTTCAAAATTCAAACGGCGTTCGATAGAACCACCGGGGAACTACCTATATAGTGACCTAATTTCATTGACCTCTGTCCAACAGATGACGTTACAGGTCAGGTCACAGGTCGCATTTTCACCGTTCACAGACATATTTTCAAGAAATGTGTTGTAAAAATCGAGTAAAAGGCATAAAATCATCGATAGAGAATTGTTTGTCAAATACATATTTCGCTAGGTCACTGATGTCAGGTCACAATATGAAAGTGACGCATGATGCATGTTTTATGGTCCATTTTATATGACAAATGCGATTATGTGGGTCAGACAACCTTTGGGGCCAGTTTAGGCTATGTTCTGATCAGGTCAGGTCAGCTCAGGTATGAAGGTCAGGTCAAATTAGGTCAAATTTTAAAGTTGATATTTTTGCATAAAATGGGTATCGATCCAAATGCAGCTCGTCACGGGGAGCCTAATGGTGGGCTTTGTTTGGCGCTACGTGGTCTTGAATTGCAAAAAAAAATTGAGCCTGAAACTTTGATGTCATCAATTTTGAAGCTTTTTTCGCTATTACTTGGCAAAAAGAGGTATCGATCTGAAATATGGCTGTGGATAGAAGACGGTAGGCACTATCATATAGTTTCCGCTTTTTCGATATTCGAAAAAACTTTTATATCATTTTTAGGTGGTCAAAATCCAATAATTTCAAAAACTGAGATAGCAGTTTTCCCTTTCAATTCTACACCTTCCATGTTTTGAACATTTTTCTGTATATTCAAAGCTGACAGCTCTTCTCGCGAAGCTTTTTTTGGGACGGAAATGGCAGAACATGCATTTGTGGCCCACCTATCATTCAAAGCCTCTGCCATCTGGAAAAACTTTTGATCACAATGTGTAAAATTGATGCCCGGAGGGGTAGTCAAAGCTTGGTGGCGATACCTGCAGCCGTTTGGGAAATATCTACGGAATAGGACATGGGGGCTTTGCCCCCCCCCCCCTACGGGGCGCGGGTTAATAATGACATGTAACGGTTTGAGATATGGTCATTGATCAGCGGTATGTAACTTTTTGGCGATGAGCAACTGCATCGGAACAGCAGATCCTGCACAGACGATCGTGAACACCAAGACAGCAACTGACCTGACGCACCACTCACTCTAACTGTCCCTTCTGGTGACATTTTTTTGCACAATCTGTTCAGTAGACATTGAAAAAGAAATAGAAAAGGGTCCTTCATGCTCATAATAAGCGCCCTAACCACCGACATATAAGTGTTTACTTCGGTGGGTGCCACACAATATTTCTTTCAATATACTGTCATTGACCAGGAATACATAAGCACAGTAAAGGCGTATTAGAAACGGACCACAATGCTGAGCGAATAGGAGAATCCGTTCCTGATACGCATTTACTTGCTCATGCAACACCGGTAAATATAGCTATAATAAAATTGGTTGGATTGTTAATGAGCAAATAAGCACAGCGGGTAAGCAGCTTAATGAAAATTTCATTATTGCAGACACTTGAAGCAGTCAATTGCAACCTATCTGGCACGAGCGCTTGTCGCGTCATTCATTCACACGCGTCAGAAGTCGCCGAAACTCAAAAAGGTTCGAAAGGTAAGAGGGATGAGGGCTATTTGGCGTCCGTTTGCCTATCAGTGCTGAGCAGTTGCTGAGGTATAAGGTGATATTTGAAAAGCGCCCAGGGACTGGGAAGGGCTGCTAGTTTTTTTTTCTATGATAACTTAGATGATCTCACTCCATCATAATACTGGTTTGCACAAACAAAGAATTATAGCATTTAAGTTATAAAATGGGGGTGCAGAGTAGAACTACATACACAGTACACAGTTCTGGCCAGAGTAGCCACAATCTTGCAGAATCCTCATTTCAGAGCTGGGGTCAACATTGCTTTTGAAGACTCCTAAAACATCCTTTCAGCTGCTTGATAATCAAAAATCATTTGCTCATTCAGCATCCAATGGCAGACCTTGTAGTCAGTCACACTCCTGCATTTTTTGATCTTGTGGATATGGAAGACAGAAATGGGAGCCATACCTAGAGTAGGTAAATTTCAAGTGCATGAGCTGTTTTCAACACATCTAATCCAAAGGAATAATATTCAGGGAACAGAAAAGCTATTTTTTGCATATGCATAAGCTGCACTTTGCACAGCATATGCTATTTTTTCTGAAACAGAAGAATGCTGAATGGATGGCCAAAATGGGAACAATCAATTTCCAAAGCCATGGTGGCCAGGCTCCAGCTGGTTCCAAGATTCTGTCCGCTCAAGTACAAGTTGCGCAGAAACTGAATACCTTGGTAAAACTCACCTGAATCGCTTGCGGACAACCTTCAGATGACGCATGCGGCCAGTTCCAGTGGTCTTCCTCCTCTTGGCCTTCACGCTCCAGTTGTCTGTAAATAAAAAAATCGGAACTGAAAAACTGCCTTCCCAAGAACTAATTACACAGATGACAAACCTACACAGTTTGATGGAGATAAGGGAGGCTATCAAAACATAAAGAAGCTAAAAGCAGATTGCTTCCCACTGTTTCTGCAGTCAAAATAAATGCCATATACTCCACATACATAAATGATAAGTCACTATTGATTATAGGTCCCTGTTCCAGTTAGCTCACAACAATCCAGAGATATTGCTGTATGTGCAGGTAAATAAAAGTGAACTAGACACTATTGTCATGCACTATTATTACAAAAGAGAGCAGCAGAACATGACTGAGCAGCAGAGTAACATACCAAGAACTTCATTAGAACTGATGAACTAAATACAGGATAGACAGTAGACAACACACAATATGTATGAAGCAACTGGTCAGTCCCTGCAAAATGGTGCAGCCAAGGGTCTAGCTCTGTGCTTATGTCATAATCTCAAAAGCTTTAAGCTTCTAAGCACTTCAAGACCAATTTCAAACAATTTAAGTAAGCCATTATATCAACACCTTTTCATTTAAAACCCACATTTGGTCTCCGGTGAATTTCAGACAAGTTGGTTAGAGACCTTCAAAAAAGATACAATCGCTCGATTTTTCTCAAGTTTGTCTGTCTTGGCAGATAAAGCAATACCAGAACAGGCCTACGAACACACATATTTGATCAGGATCGGACGATTGGACACTTTTAAAAGGAGATATTTCGAGCCTCCCGGAAATCCACAGGAGAGCAGATGTGGGGTTTAAAAAAAGGTGTCGATATTACTCATCCACACAGTAGGAACCAAACCACAATGTACCAATGCCCAGAGGAACATGCCCAGATCAAGGCATAACACAGTAGCTGGGGATTGGTATAATTGCTTTAGTCCCTTTGCGAAGCACCAGCAGCAACAGTCAACCACAGGTGTATCAGAGGGGACTGAATATCACTTGCATAGGTAATCATTTGAGTTCTGACAATGAACATGAAGGCAATATTCATTTTTTTTTGTATGCCAATTATTTCATATTCTTTATTCATATTTCTAACATAAAGTATAAAATTTTACCTTTCTTCCAGACCCTAACCAGAACCAAAAATGAGGTCTATCCTAGTGCAAAAGACAAAGCTTTGCATATTTTGTCACCAACATTTGAAACATTTGAAAACAATGGTAAAAGCTCCAGATTTAGAGTCAGTGTTAGTATGTAAGCAATAAGCATGCAAACAAGTATTTTCACTTATAAATTAACAGTTTGCTAACATGTGCAACTGCAAAAGTAAACAAACGGGTTACTCACACTATCAGGTGAAAACAATGGTGTTGCAATTCAGCAATTTTAGGAAAAACGTCTAGGTTACAAAGCCTGAACACCAGCCTCATACTTATAACTGATTACTTACATGACCGCATCTTAGCAGCAGGGTAGCCACACTGGGAGCACTTGTGCTTCTGGATGTGGTAGGACGACCTACCACATCTTCGGCACAAGGTGTGAGACTTATTATGTCTCTTTCCGTAGCTTGATGTTCCCTTCGTCTGTAAAAGCACATTTAAGTCAGTAACGCAATGCGATTGGGAAGCGGGCGGGATATCGATGGCACCGCAACACCGTTTATAGCCAGAAACGACGACGAATAACACAAATTGCTGCGATTAATAATTGTTCTCTGATTGATAGGTAAGCAAAAAATAACCATTATGCGGAGGGAGAAGCGTGAGTGAGAAAAAATACGATTATTAGATTTACAGGCACCTCACCATCGCTTGTCTGAAGGGGAAAAGACAGCGCTGCCTATTATCGAAACATACCTTATGTTTTAGGAAGTGACCAGTCGACCAGTCTAGTTGAAGTTAAAGGAAAATATTTTTTTTATCTTTTGGCTATTTTTTGTTTAATTTAATTATGCTTGTGAAAATTGTAAACTTTATTCCTTAGGTGAAGCTGCACGTAAAGAGCTTTTGATAATCGACGGTAAATGACGTCATGCCTACGGACTTATTTTGTTTAGATTTGTGATTGCTGAAAACATAAGAAATGATAAAGAACCACAGAAAAGCTGAAAGAATGCTCTAAATAAAAAATATGATCAGCTGCAGACTAGCTATAAATGTATTGAAACAGTTTAGCTATTGGATTATGAAAGCCATAACAACTTTTTTGACCTGTTCAATACCAGTCGCCTATAAAGCTTTTGGAAATTCAACCTCGTATATTTAGCACACCGGCAGAAGCTTGTTGCCTAGCGACAAGAAATTGAAACAGCACGCACAGGATATATCGAACAGCATTCTGCTAGTGTTTTCGCGGCTTCAACTTTTGCAGCCTTCGACATATATTTTTGATTTGTTTTGTAAATAATGGGTGCCGTAAAAATATGAACACCGCCCTGTCTTGACATGTGACGGTGATTGTTTTAGGCAAGTTTGAGGGTCGATTTGGTATTTGTTGATCTGTAGGTCTGTTTTGCTGATCCCCCATTTTGAATAGAGGTAGGTAGATGTCAGTTATAATCGGCTAAGTCTTGGTTGAAATAGTTTATCTTTAATATTTGTTCGTTCATTTGTCTTTATCAGCTCATCCAATCACTTATTCATTCATTCATTCATTCATTCATGTATTCACACTCATTTCAATCATTCACCATTGTCACATAAGTCAGAATCATGGGTGAATTACATTTTCTCTTGTATTTTAATTTAGCTCAGAAGTTTGGTACATTTGGTGTGGGTTTTGGTCAGTAAGCTGTAAGCTAATCTAAAAATCAAAGCTCAAGATAAGAATAAACATATTGTGTTGTTGATTCAACTTATATATGAGTCAGCGTCATTAAGGCTGGAGACTTCCAGTTTGCGGTTAACTCGCGTTTATTTTGGTGGCTAACTTCCTTACACGCGTGTAGCTGCCCACCAACTTTTACCCGGGGACTTCCATCCGCGGTTAACTGGTGGGTAGCTACACGCGTGTAAATGTTTAAATGCCGACTTACACGCCAGTTTAAAGGGCTTCCCGATCAGCTGATCGGGATGCGGCGATCAGCTGGTCCAATGAACAAGTGCGAAATTCCGTTATTTATGGGACCGGTGGCCCCCAATCAGCGTTTTTGCACATGCAATGAGTACAGCCGTAACAATGGGATGTGGTGATGCATTAACCTAACCAGAACAGCGTTTGAAGCCGTGCCAATCAGCATCAGTAATGCTAATCGCCTTGTGTTATTTCACTCTGTATGGCCGACCGCCAGTCTACTGCATGATCTTGCAACAGCCGTATCTCAGATTACTCGTCTGCCCTCGTCGGTTCGTCTCCGTCACCCCCCGTCCTCACCCCCGCCCCGTCACTTCACCGGTGAGGCGTCGTCGGTGTCCAATGCAATGCCACACAAAGGACGATTATCACCGAGTGATCAGTTCAGTGGCGGATCCAGGGGGGGGGGCTGCGGGGGCTGGCAGCCCCCACCCAAGGAAAACTGGCGCCACTGCGCCTTCGGCGCAGTTTCGGCGCAGTGGCGCCAATTTTCAATTCGCAACTCATCGGAGTGCCGCATACTAGGACTAGGATGCAAAAATCAGTCGAATAACGTCGTTTCAGTACGCTCCGCACCGATATTTCCAATGGTGTGGTGTTACTGTACATACTGATCCTGGGCGCCTCTTGTCAGGGCCACTGGGTGCCAATATTTCAGCGCCAATACGATGCGACTATGGCGCCCATCCGGGGCGTGGCGCCCAATTATGACCTGCAGCCCCTCCCCAGTGAAAATCCTGGATCCGAGACTGGATCAGTTTAATATGTGCGTGTCGCGGGGGTGGCTGACGTTCCAACGGCGCAGGATCCGGTCCACCACCAGTGCCCATTTGCTGCCGTTTAAACCGCTAATGGTTCTTTTTGGCCGTCCTTTTCATATCTCTCCAGAGCTGTGTCAGCTGTTTCTAGTCCCATTTTTCTTCTGACCTTGCATTACAGGCTGTAACAATGTTCTTCCAAGACCGTTTTCGTTCTTCATTACTCCTTCCATCGTGTCGCTTATTTTTGATGACTTTTACTTCAGTCTTCATGACATCGGCTAACAAATGCATGTCTCTACTACTGAAATTTCTGCTCCTCTTCTTCCTGTCCATGGTTGTTGACCGGACACTCGTATTGCTTCCACTGAGCTGGTCCTCGCCCCACTGACACGTAACGCGAAGTGCGACGACAGGGGCCCGACACTAGCCGGCTGGCTCGACGATCACATTATTTCGGATGCGATACGAATCCCATCTCACTATCCCGAAGATTACGAAATAGCAGCTGGTGGCAAGGAGATAGGTGCGATGGAAATAGACTAATACCTCCGTATTTGAAAATTTGAGTCCTACATCCTCAATTCTGTCAACTCAAATATTGCTCTGATTACTCATGTATGACTTGTTGAAAACATCTGGATACTTGCAGTGATGAAATACGTAATTTGTAACCCCTCAACAAGCACAGAGGCCAGTTTAACCAACAGAAAAATAGCCGCCTGGCAGAATTTTTTGCCTAAAGACCGTTTCACATACGGAGTGGAAACGCGATAAGCACGTAAGCGGATAGGGCTTTACCGCTCTCGATCCGTATGTGAATCGGCCTTTAGGCGAAAAATTCCGCCAGGCGGCTATTTTTCTGTTGGTAAAACTGGCCTCAGTACTATGAAAAGGTGACCTCAAATTCGTCTAATCTTAGCAGCCGAACGGCTAGGCCGAACTGGCTGAAAAAGCCTGAACTAGATGATTGCACTATTGTCTATCACTTGCACTTAAAATTTGCACAGAAATAAACTTTTAAAACCCCCTAAGGACCAAAAAAAAGCACCACCGAAAAGATACCCGCGAACTTAATACATGGGGTGGCTCGCGTGTAAGTTCGGTCGCTAACTTAGCGAACAAACTATTTACCCGCAGATGGAAGTCTCCGGGCAAAGTTACCCGCCGACTTAAACGCGAGATAAACGCCAACTTACCCGCAAACCACTTACACGCGACTTACCCGCGTGTGGAAGTCTCCAGCCTAAGTTTCGGTAATTTCAATTTCTGGTTGCTTTATTTCTCACGCTGACACTGGGTAGAACTGTCAGCTCTGACTAACTCTGACTCATGCACGACAGCCATGATCTGATGTGTTTCAGGATGTCTCTTGTATATAGTGTCTTGTTTTTTGCATTGTATTATACCTACTGGTTTTCTTCATTGAAAAATAATTGCTAGTGACTGTCAAGTGTCTTGGGTGAGCCCAGACATTCCCAGGAAGATGTGATCTGGCTATCATTAAATAATTGCTTCAATATTAGTGCTGGGTCTTGATTTCTCTTGTTAAGGTAGGCAAGAACAACAATTGCAAATCATTTATGCTTAAGATTAAATTGATTTGTAGGTAGCAGAACTAGAAGCATCATTTTCATATATGACAATATGTAACACTAATGATGTTTGAACTATATGTTGCAGGAAGTAGGTGACACATACATGGACTACATCTGCAGCTTGATGTTGAAAATGTTCCTTTAGTAAGGTATGAAGCTATGTCACTGATACCTGTATGTGCTTAATGTTAGAAAAAACTGAACTTACCATAAAAAGTTGTTGTTTTCCTAGACCAGCTCTTTGCTGAATTGGACATCTGTTCCTACCTAATATGAACTGCATTGCTCACTTTACCATTTTGAGAGTTTTGGATATGGTTGGTATTAATCTTTATCTTCCCAGTTTGTTTTTTCATTTGAAATGTCTAATAGTTCAAAGATATCCCCATCTCTAAATAATGGAACCTCCCCATTGTGCTTACAGGCTCTGTCATGTCCGACCAGCCAGACTCGACCATTACATCCACGGAGCCGCGACGGGGGCTGAGCCCGCCGCCGCGGCGCCGTCAGCCCTCCGGCGAGGTACCGCAGCCCAGCAATAGCGACCAGCGCGCCGAGCGCCGGCCGCCGGAGCGGCGCTCTCCGGAACACTCCGAGCCGGACTCGGCGCCGCGCCACCCGCCCGGAGAGCCGGCCGCAGCCGCCGCCGCCGCCGCCAGCTCCTCGGACGTCGCTTCGGCGCCGATGGTGGCGCGTGCGCCCAACTCGGCTGCGAGTTCTTCAGATGCTGCGCCTGCGCGCCCTCCGGCTCGCGCGTCCAACTCGGCAGCGAGCTCTTCGGACTCTGCTCCGACACCGAGATTGACGCCCCAGCCCAACTCGACCGCTAGTTCGTCAGACGCTGCACCGACACCAAGAGTAACGCTCCAGCCCAACTCGGCGGCAAGCTCTTCTGACGCTGCTCCCGCGCGTCCCCCGGCTCGCGCTCCCGGTTCGGCAGCCAGCTCATCGGACGCTGCGCCCGTGGCGAAACGACCACCGAGCTCAGACGCGAGTTCCTCAGACGCCACGCCTGCCCGAGCAGTCGGCAGGCCTCCAGTCTCGGCGGCCAGTTCTTCAGACGTAGCCTCGACGCCGGTGCTGAGTCGACCCCCGAGCACAGACGCTAGTTCGTCGGACACAGCCTCTCGCGCTCCGGCTCCGCGCCACACCATGACCGAGCGAGCTGGTGACGCGGCCGCCGCTAGTTCCTCGGATGTAGCGGCGGCGCGGCCTGAGAGACCGCGTGGCGCCGCCGCTGCGAGCTCTTCGGACGCGGAGTCAGCACAGCGAGTGCATGTGGTACGTGATGAGCGTCCACCGACCACCGCTGCAGCCAGTTCCTCAGATACAGCTCCGTCAGTGACGGCGGCACGAAGGCCGGTCACCGCCGCCAGCTCATCGTTCGTGGCATCATCGCCGGTAGACGGCAGTCGCTCCAATGACGCCGGCT